CAGCAGAGATTTTGTTGCTGATCAGTGTCATTGTGCTCAATAAAACTGGAAATTTTCCTTTTCCTTTTCCTTTTCCTTTTCCTTTTCCTTTTCCTTTTCCTTTTCCTTTTCCTTTTCCTTTTCCTTTTCCTTTTCCTTTTCCTTTTTCCTTTTCCTTTTCCTTTTCCTTTTCCTTTTCCTTTTCCTTTTCCTTTTCCTTTTCCTTTTCCTTTTTCCTTTTCCTTTTCCTTTTCCTTTTCCTTGCTTGAATTCTCAGTGAGCCCAGAATCAAAAAGAAAAAAAACCAACAACCCAACAACAACTCACTCACTCCCTCAACAACCCCAAAACCACTCCTTTTACAAAGTGAATTGGAGCGAGTTTGCAATTCCCTACTAGCAGGCTGAACGTTGTTTATAGTCATCAGTGACAACATCTACTGAAGTCCACTTGGCTTTGGATTCAGCAAAAGATAGAGATGCCCGAATCAGTTACCTATGTGTAGATGTCTCCATGAGAGCTAGGTGTCTGATCAATGGAGAGATTATCAATACAGTTAGCTGAGACCAGGAGCTACTCATCAGTTATTCATTTGGTCAAATGTAGGTATGGATTAAAGGATGAGCTGAACAACGCTCTAAATTCTATCCACTAGACCTCCATTATATACAGTGACAATTTATGTATCTAGTTCATACGTATACACTTATTTTAGCTACCTTAATCTGCAAACTAAATTTTTATCCAAAAGATAAATAGAGATTAAAGCTGCCTTCATTACTGTTTTACCATTCACTGTTGAGAATGCTTTATTCTCCTATGTAAATGCTTTATTTTATAAAAGGTTCCAAACCAACACCACAATTTCTCCATGATAAAATATTCTGCTGTTCGACACTCTGGTACTGAGATTTTACAACTTAGACCTCAAAGGGTTTTGACTGAATGTAAACCTTTTGGCATTGCTGAGTGTCCATAATCATAAGTGTATCCATGGTAACTACCGGAGAGAAAGTATGGGTGTATAATCCTTCTTAAGTAACACAATGTTATGTTTTTCTTGGTAGACAAAGAGATGCTAGCTAGTCATAAGCATATTAAACAGCCTGTGAATATCAAAGTTGCACAGATACTCCTCAACAGCAAAATGGAAATTGTTTTAGTAAGGTTGTAATGTGTGCTAACACTTCAGGAATATAAATACAAAATTTCTGGAGCTTCTTTTTTGAATAGAGGTGGGCAAACTAACTTAAGTCTTTTCTCTTAATCTTACAATTTAATAGAAAATCATAACTTGTCATGCCAATACTGTTGTTTACCAGAAAAAGGGCTGAATTATCCTCTGACTAATCAAAATGGAGTTCGCACTCTTTCAAAATGCTATATTCCTATGTGATAGCCTAAACATGTTCATATAACCATTTTTCTATGGTATAAATGACTCAAAAATCAACATGATACTGATTGTACTGCTATATTTTTAAGTAGAGCTTTTTCTTTATTTTCTTGTTTTATTAATTATTTTTGGTTAGCAAAAATACAGAATATTTTAGACACAGTTATGACTGTTATTTAAAAAAAAAAAATCTGGATACCATTTTTGTTTTATACTATCCAGCTTTTATTCTGTGAATCTCAGAAAGGCCTGCAGGAATTGTAAGACTGTTGTCTTATCGATGCAAAACAGCAGAAGTTGTACACTTTTGCAAGTAAAATTAAACACAAGGCACACTTTGACACTCATGCTTCAGTAAAAAAGCTTTGAATGTCTAATCCTTCAAGCATTAGGGGTCTATAGAGGTATCCATACGGAGAGAAAAAGGTGTACCTGAAGAGATACAAACCTGAAAAACAAAAGCTATTTTGCTGCGAGAAAAGAAAGAAAAAAGTCCAATTATATATATGGATAAAGTGGTTTATAAATGGAAGAGTTGCTTTCCAGTTTTCCATGAGTTTTCAGCTGCTTTCTAATGGCACATACAAACTGAAGAAGGAGTGCAAGCATGGGTTCTGATCCCACAGCAATTTTTAATTTTTTTCTCCAACTGCTGCCCCACAGAAATTTGGCATCTGTGGCTTCCCAGCCATGAAAGTAATCCATTGAGTGGAAACCTGTTTCTTTTTCTGGTTTTTGGTTTGTTTGGGGTTTGTTTGTTTTTTTTTTTTTCTTCTCATCTATGAGGTACTAAATTTGGTGTTTTGATGTCCCCCACAATATCTGAGACTGATTATGCTTAGCACAATTTCTATTAAAAGAAATAAAACTGAGAGTCCTCAAGTTAGCATTTTCTGATAACAGTACTTGGTATGTTTTTCTCTGCTTCCCTCCTTCTTCAGCCATGGGGGTGGGAGGGGAATGGGAGAGAGGAAAAAAGATAATTAAATAAAATTTACAGTTGCTGTATTTTGCCAAGAATTTCACCATGAATCCAACAAAGACAAGAATGAGGCTGTAGGTCCTGAAGATTTCAATCCTTCCTGAGAAATCTGTCATGGTAGAGTCCTCACTGTAAACAGAGAAAGGTCAAGTGTAGGAATGATAAGGAAGAAAACTTCCATTCTGGACTAGGATCAGAGAACAAGAATAAGGACTATAATCCAGTTTCCTTGTAAGTATCTGCAGCCTTTGAGGAAAGAATCCCTCTTCATTTTTTCAAACTAAAATGCTTCAAAATCTCTCATTCCCACACTGGTAAGGCAGGAAAGCAAAAGATTTAGAGTCAGTTGTATTCCATTAACTGCATATCTGACGTTGAAGAGTATGATAACCTCAAAAAATTGGAGTAATGGAGCTCTAGAAGAAGGATAAACTGATCATACAGAATTGTAGAACTGGAAAGCCTCTTGGATGTTGAGTGCAAAGCATCACATACTCCTATTCCAAAGGAGAATAAACTATAACTTCTGTAATTTTTGATATTTGTTTGTCTACTCTGTACTTAGAAGCCTCAAATGACTTCCTAAGTTAATGACTTCCAACAATCCAGCTTCTTTTATCATTTAGTAAGTTTTTTCTTATAACAGCTCTACCAAATTCCTGGATACATTCATAACATGTAGTCATGGAACCAGAATGATCTAGTCTGGTCATGTGCCTTTTGGTAGTAATTTTTCTTCGGAAGGAAAAGGCTTGTCTGACATATTAAATAATTCTGTGCTGGATCCAGAGCTAATTGCTTTGTTCTCATTTTAAGTATTGTCCTGGAAGTGTCACAGTATGTTTCAATATGTGAAGACAGCTGATTGTGTAATCGTGATGATAAACAACAAAACCTACTGAAGTTTGAAGCTACTTAGTAATAAATAAGTAAGCCTTAAGTCATTTTAACAGTGCTCTGAGGAATGTACTTTAAAACTTGTAGGACCTTTGTATAGTTCTCTAGAAGGCTGGAAAGATCACCTGCTTCTAATGTAAGCAGACTCAATTCTCTAAGAAACCTGTGGATCTGGAATTCTGTGCATAGGAGGGAGAGAACAGGATGTAATTCAAATATCCTTCAACAAACACTCAAAGACTAGTATCCATGAATTCTCTTTTTTCTTTTTCTTAGTGGAGTCTGGCTCCTGAAATAGAAATAAATTGTGGAAAACCTTGCACTAACATAGGATACAGGAAAGGGTGTTGGAAATGAAGAGCATGTCCACGTCAAGGTGCCTTAATCTGCTACAGAATTCCCACAATCTCTACAGGAGAGATGGTTATAGGTGCTGAATTCATCTATGAATGAATCTATAACTTGCAATAGATTCCATTTTGACAGGAGAATAATCAATGGAAATTCCATTCAGACATCCCAGTTTACTCATCTCTTGGCTTTTCTTGTAGATTTCCCATGGGGTGCGGGACAGAAGGGAAATATAAGTTTCCAGTTAAAGTGCCACAAAGCTCAAACTGGTTGTTTGGTAACGCCCTCCTGGTGGTCAATAGCATGTCACCTGTGGTGGCCTGGGAGTTTAATCTGAAAAAGAACTGTTGTTTGGTTTTGTTTTTTTTTTTCCATGTGCTGTACAATCATATTAGAGAAGGACTTAAGAGAGATTCCTCAAAATTTCAAAAGAAGACTCTCTGAAAGATTTACTTCATGGCTCATTGTAAACTTTTGAACTTCAATTCCTTTACTGATCAGCCACAACAGCATTTGTTAACCTTATAGGCATGGCACAAAGCCCTTGTTTTCCCTTCTTTGAAAGGTGGTGAGGAAAATAATTTAAAATAAATATTAAAAATTATTTCTTAATTGGGTCACTGTATTATGCATAATTTTTCTTAGACAATGTAAATAACTTTAGAGATGTAAGTACATGTACTGTGCTACAGAAGATGAATGATTTAACTGCAATAATAAAATTTTTCTTTGGGGTTTTTACTCTGAAGACAGCTAAGAAAAATCTCAGGGCTTCCCAAACCCACTCTTCCCAAAGAAACCACAATGTTACAGAGCCCTTTCATCATCCAGCATACGGTACTGTAGAACACAAAAATATACACTGTACTACTTTAAATTAATTCACATTTGCAGGAGACACAGTCTGTGTGAGTATGTGCAATTATGAAACGTAACTTTTTTTTCCCTCTTGACTTTTTTAGCTGCCTCACCCCTTTTATTTGAACACATACATATGGTGTGTGAGAGTGAGCAAGCTCTCTGTAAATGTTTGGAAGGAGCATCTGTCAGACAATAAAAGTTACAAGAAAACACGCTTCTCATTTAAAGTGTATTCACTAGAACTATTTCAGTGTTGGACTCAGTTCATTTGTATAGCTTGGAGGCATTAATAAGAGCAGAGAACTGTAAAGGCACCAGAAAAGTTGCACTGTTACTAAGAATCCAAGGTATTTTTTTAAAGCATTTTGTCTATTCGGCATCACAGTCTTCTGATAGGAACCTGAACCACTTGACAGACAGGAAACCCCGGACAGTCCATCCAAAAAGACTGCAAACAAGAAGATGGCATGCTTTTTGCAAACCTGGAAAGTCTAAAGATTACAATAATTGTTGGACCAACGGGACCCTCTTCAGGCATAAATAGCAAGACTCCTACTGTCTTCTCTTGCAGACCAACTCAGCTGCCAGCAAAAGCAGGTGCTCTCCCCCTACCAGAGCTCCACAGGAAATATTTAGTGAGTATTCACAGCTCTTTTTACAAATTACTATATTATTAGCGTTTTAGTTGTATTTGTATAGTTTTCTCAAAGGGCAATAACATTTAAAAACAAGTTTTTAAAGCTTTTATTTTAAACAATTGCTGGAGTTCAGCAGTCTGATGCAATTACCATATTAATTTAAAAACAAAATTTGCACAACCCATGAAAGCAACTTTTAAAAAATATTGATTTTTAACAATCGTGTAGCTTAAACAATCTGAAGAAATTACATTGTATTTTTAATGCACAAGTTAGGACAGCAAAGTAATTTATATAAATATGAAATGTATTTGACTTTAAATGTTATGCCATAAAACAGCCTTTGTAGAACACAAATTTAAAACAAATCATTTCTTTTGGCAAAGTAACCTGCAATTTAATCTTCAGATGAATAAATATACTACTAATGTTTTCCACAGAAACAGTTGCTACTCTAATTAATTCAAGATGTGACTCTAATGAGATTTCAAAAGATAATCAGAAACAGATTTTTCTCAGAGGTAGTACTATGGACAAGGTTCAGATATTTTTATTTTTATTAGAAACACTTGTCCCAGATAGAGTTACAGATTTTTAGTATATAGCATGGAAATACCAAATCTGAAAGCATTATAATAATGTTTTTAGAAGCAGAACAATTTTTAGTGTTTCAGATAAATGCTTTCTTTTTCATTATGACTTATGGTACGTTACATTTTATTAGGTAACTGTTATACAATTTTGAATTTAGTGTGACTAATATGTCTAAATTTTTTTTTTTGTGTGTGTGGAAGGGAATGGAAAACCTGATGTTTGTCTACCGCCCCTGTAAAGTTATCTGGACATTACTTGTGACAATACTAGGTTATGCCAGCAGCTTGCCTGTGGGTGATGATTCTATTTGTACAGCAGAGGAACTTGCTAAGTACAGCATAATCTTCACAGGGAAATGGAGTCAGACTGCGTTCCCTAAGCAGTATCCACTGTATAGGCCCCCAGCACAGTGGTCATCAATGCTCGGTAAGTGAAGTCTGTACAGTTTTAAGAACAGATTAGTCTCTTGACCATTGTGATTTTTTTCTTCTTAATAGTCAATTTTAAGATAACTAATGGAAAATGAAAAAAATAGCTGAAGTCATTAAGAATGAAATGCAGAAATTGAAGTATCCACAATGCTTTCAAAAATCCACAACTGTTTTCAGTTGACTTCTGTTTTCAATTGGCTGCAGCTGAAGTCAACAGTGATAAGCCAAATGTTTTAGTGTTCACTCATTTTTAGAGACAATTTTTTTTAACCTCAGAAATAAAACAGAGAAATTGAAGAAACAGGGACAATCTAAACCAGACTTTTATGTCATGCCATGTATTCACTCAAATAGGTGTTACTCATAGTTCTGACTACAGCATGTGGAAAAAAAATGAATATGCCAGCAATGGTGTACGTGATTTTGCTGAAAAGGGTGAAGCATGGGTATTAATGAAAGAAATAGAAGAAGCTGGAGAGAAAATTCAGAGTGTACACGGAATCTTCTCTGCTGCTGCCATTTCCAGTGGCACAGGACAAACCTCCACTGAATTAGAAGTGCATTCAAGACATCCCTTAGTAAGTAAATGTACATACTGATTTTGAAAGATTACTTTATGTCACTAGCACCTAAAATCAAGCATTCGAATTCTCACTTGCAGGAACAATATAATGCAAGGAATTACTAAAAAGCATGTCACATTGCAGGGAGCATTGCACAGGTTCTGTAAAGCAGAAGTGCACAATGCCATTTGTTTAAAAAGTTTTAAGTTAAAATTACTATAAGCAGGACTGGAGCATTTCAAAATAAGTGATGCAATCCTGATAGATCCTTTTGTTTTATTAGGTTTCGTTTGTCGTAAGAATTGTTCCAAGCCCAGACTGGTTTGTAGGTATCGACAGCCTAAATCTCTGTGAAGGAGACCACTGGATGGAAGAAGTATCAGTAGATCTGTTTCCATATGATGCTGGAACTGACAGTGGTTTCACATTTTCCTCCCCGAACTTTGCCACTATTCCACAGGACACTGTCACAGAGGTAGGTTTATATACACAGTTTAGCATTTCATACCTATACATTTTGAGTCTTTCCTTTAAAACATAACTATCCTATGCCTACACGATAGACTCTTGTGAAACTGATTTCAGCATCTGAGAGTGCTGATGCTCTCTCTCTTTGAATTTATTACATAGCTCATAACCCTAGTGCTTTTGTTTATTTTCTGTATCTTTCAAATTTATTAGGTAAATGCAGATGGTTCGTGAAAATTGGGCTCTACATTTAAAGTATTTTCTGTAAAAGCTTCTATTTTTAGATTATTTTTATTTTCCTGGTGTTATAGGAATTGTTAGAAATAGTCACTAAAGTCATGGCTTTACTAAGTATGTTTCTATGTAGTGATAGGACAAGGGGCAATGGATTCAAACTGAAAGAGGGGAGATTTTGGTTAGATATAAGGAAGAAATTTTTTACATTAAGGGTGGTGAGGCACTGGAACAGATTGCCCAGAGAAGTTGTGGATGCCCCATCTCTGGAAGTGTTCAAGGCCAGGTTGGATGAGGCTTTGGGCAACCTGGTGTAGTGGAGGATTTCTCTGCCCATGGCAGGGGGGTTGGAACTAGATGATCTTTGAGGTCCCTTCCAACCCTAACCATTCTATGATTCTGTGATTCTGTCTAAACAGGAAAATTCTTAGAGCAGTGAATACTGATGTGGGAAGGAGTTTTCAGTTCAAAGCATTGCAGAAACCAGAAACTGTTACATCTGAGAGAAAGAAGCTAAGGGAAAGCAGATAACTTCATTGCTACTGTGGTGACCCCACTTTCAATCCTTTTTGTTCACTTGATACTCTATATGCCTCATACTTTGCTTTTGCCATTTAAGGGTGGTGGGGAACAGAGAAATTTGATTCAAATGTTTTGAATAGTATAAGCATTCCGTTAATCCTTTCTTTAAGGTCAGTTTTTCTAGAGCCAAATGCTGTGCTAAAGAGTAATGAGAAAAGGAACAGAGAAGCTGGAAAACAATACATTTTACCTCCTATAGCTGTATGACAGCTGCTATAGCATACCTAATATTATTATTTAATACTCTTGTATTCTTTCTCGTAATAGCATCCACTTCTTTCCATCAAACCGTTTCATACGTTACTGTGTTTTCAGTACCTCCCGCCTCAGTCCTCTGTCCAAAGGTTGGCACAATTCATTGTGCCCAGTCTCAAAGCATTATGCATAAAAATTCTGGGATTACCAGCAGTAGTTGTGTGAACTGACATCCACAGAAACTGTTTATACGCATTTTACTTGCCAAAAAGTACTAGCATGACGTGTAAACACAATTTTACAGTTATCTTCTCACTAATACAGTGTAGTTTCTTTAAGGTTCCCCTTTTTATTTCACAGATCACTTGTTCCTCTCCGAGTCACCCAGCAAATTCATTTTATTATCCTAAACTCAAAATTTTGCCACCTATTGCTCAAGTAACAATGGTGAAATTAAAGAAAAGCCAGCTGGGTCTTTCTGCACCTTATATTAACCCGCCAGCTAAAAGCAATGAAGTAATAGACTCTGTCTCAGGTAAGTGGAAATAACAGACTGCCTCAGGTGAGTGATTAGTACTTTGATATGCTCAATTCTGTTATTTCCATTTGCTCAGAAAATATGTGGAAATCTGGCAGGTGATGTGGATGAAATAGGTGAATAGGCAGAATATTCTCCTATCTGCATAGGAATAGATTCCAGACTCACACATGGGGAAATAAAACAAGCTGGTGGACATCAAAGAGAACCCCTGGTAGAATCTAAGGAAGGGGTTGCATATTTGAGCTATGGTTCAAAAGTTTGGGTTATCTCCACAGTAAGGGCTGCTCAAGCCTCAGTATCAGCATAGATGAATGAATTTGATGAGAAGTAAACAACATAATCAAAATCAAAGTTCCCAAATTCTTTGCAACTTTGAAGTAAATATTCCTCCTTAAGTTTTTATGTGATGATGGAGCCAAAGAACTTTTAATGCTAACTCTTCTGGGTCAGAGGGCTTAATAGGTATGTGCAATAAGATTTGATTTGGACATATTTGTGATAGAAACATACATTCTGATAACAAAAATAATATTCTCTCTCATTTTCTTTTCTTCAAAATATTAGCTAATAACCTTGTTTAGGTAGGAAGACATGCAAACTACTGACTCAAGTCAGTCTTAAGGGCAATTTTCAAACCTCTAAATTAACAAATACATAACTAACATAATATTTGCTCTAAGGGAAAGATAGCAGTTGGACAGTGTCACCTGAGATTTTCTCTTTACACTTGTCTAGTGGATTTTTGCAAAGTGTAAGAGGAAGGGTTAAGAATAAGAAGACTGACATCCTAAATACTATTTGAGACAGCAATAGGCTAAACCTCAATGTATTCCTAGAAGAGCTGCCATGTTCCAAGAGCATCTGCAGAATGTCTGAAGATTGCATGGGTCTAGCTCCGTGTGGAAGTCACC